CGTTACATTTAGATACTTATTGCGTGACGGTCACTTGTTTTCATCTGTTGTTCTCGTGGCAAGATGATGCTGTCAATAGAGTACTCCATAGTGTCGATGTGAGTCAAATCATTTTAGTTGATAGCAGATGGTAAGTCGAATCTAACTCTGCATGCCCCCTCTAGCTTGAAACTTTATGCAGAAGGCATATGTAAGCATACCCATTCTTCCGACTGGTTTCTCTCAACTTCAAACTTTCATGTTCTTATGTTTAGTGTACAGATTTTGAGTACTGTACTCGAAGCGACTTGTACTTCTACTTTTAGGCAGTGAAGTTGGCCAGCATCATGGACCTTGCGCGCGAAGTATCAGTTGACGTTCAATTCGAGCTGCCTATCTAATTAGCCGGCCGAATGTCTGGTCTTACTCGTTTTATTCCGTAGGTGTTTCTGGTGATACTGATTTCGCCTTTGTTGAGTCTTTGGTATACTGATGTGGTGTAAGTTGTATTATGATATATTCGTGCTCGTTTTATGCACGTTTTGTTTTCTTAAAATGCCGTGCTTATTGATTTAACGAAAGTGATTTCCGCGTTTTCTGATGAACCAGGTTCATTGCGCAATAAAACACTTTTCTGAAAGTTGCAGTTATAAATATACTAGAATATGCGAACTGTTTGAGGATGTATTAACCGAGTCCGTGATCTTCGAAGAATCCTTGAGGCGTTTCTTCCTAAAAATCAGTTGAATGAAAACATTTACGGTTTAAGTTAATCGTTTATTTACCTCTTGCATGAGGTCTTCGGCAGCGATTGCTTTAAGTACTTGTTTCTTACTTGTCTCCTGTACTTCCCCAGCAAGCATAAATTCGTCAAGAATAAAGTAGGCTTTTTCGAAGTTGAAAATTATATCTAATTCGCATACCTATTGAAGACATATTAAGTAACTAAAACGTACCGCAATAGAACAACTCATTTATCAAACCAATTTTACGGAAAGCGACTAGATGACGGGTCATCAGTCACTGAAAACTTATTACTAAACGATCATCTCTATTTTAAGCCAGAGATTGAAATAGAGGCAGCAGATTATCTCAGCTGTTGTAAGTAGACAATTTCAACTTAAAGGCAATCATCGAAGCCACTTCAAAAACAAGAAAGACGTTATCACCATTAAATCAGGAAGAAAGCCAAAATACCTAATTATATTCCATTATCAATATCAGACATGATAATCAGCTAATCATGATGAAAGTTGCAAAGCAAAAAAACTTAAGAATAGACATGGTAGAAAGAAATACAGTAACTACAGAGATTATATTTAAAGAAAGACTGGCAGCATCATTGAATAGGCAAGGCATCTGCGACGAAGAATCACCGAAAACAACGAACATGAGCATAATGGAACGAATCCGCCTAAGAAGTGTTAAGAAACAGAGAACCACCAGCGGGATTTAAGCGTACAGCACAAAGCTCATTCGAAAAACGATCAAGACGTTATGCAAAGCAGATAGGTTAAAAGCTGTCTGTAAGACATCCTTTAAAAACTACTCAAATACTATGTCTGCGAAGGCCATATCGAATGAAGCACCTGAGAAATGACTGAATGAAGAATTACTGCTTTAAATGGATCGCCCAAAAATTCTACTTCACTGCGAAAGAAATACATGGACAACTGTGTAAAACTTACATAAAGTGTAAGAAATTTGCATCTGGAAGATTACAGATAACAAAAGTAATCAGCAAACAAATGAATCGATTACAAAACTACTAAAAGTT